CCCAGCGTCTGGTAGAGAAACGTAGGAAGAAAAACCCCAAACCCTAAACCCTAAACACTAAACCCTAAACACTAAAGTATCGACGGCAGCGTAAGGGCCACAAAGGCGATTTATACGGGTAGTGTGTATGAGCAGCAGAAGCAGCAGCAGCAGCAGGGGGTTTTTTGCTGCCTGTATTGCATCTGTTGGTAAAAAAAGGATAATAAAATAAAATATACTTTATTATTTCATGGTATAAATACAAAAAAAGAAGGAAAAAAGGGAATACAACCCTAATTAGGGGGCCCCCCTCCCCCCCTACCTAGTAACACATAAGGGAGGGGTTGTTAGGTGACCCTCTTCTTCTTTTTTTTTATTTCCTTCTCCTTCTTTTGCTTCTTTTTTCTCCTTTTCTCTGTTTTATTTATTTATTTTATTTATTTTATTTATTTGCTTTATTTATTAGGGTTATTTCTTGCACTAATACAACATACAGCAGCAACAACACACTAGCACCAAGGACCAGTGGTCTGTTGCTGCTGTTGCAGCAGCAGCTTGCAGCAGCAAATGCGTGCTCGCCCTGATCCCCAGGGGGCCCCCAGTATGAAGGGGCCCCCCTCTTTCATTATAAATACTGCTATAAGATTTAGTACCCTTTTATGTGTTATGCAGACAGCCAAGGGTTTATATGTACGTACTGCTGCTGTTAGGAGGAAAGCAGCAGATGAGCAAGAGCCAACATAAACCCTAAACCCTAAACCCTATAAACACCATACATAAACCCTAAACCCTTGTACAACAACCCCACAACAACCCCACCGTATGCAGATGATGAATCCCTCCCTCCCCCTATTCTTATGCATGCATTTCCCTGTTTATGTATATTTATGCCACGGCTATCCAAGACCTGCTGCAGCTATCCTTAAGTACCTATAGCTAGCTATAGCTACCTATAGCTAGCTGTGGCTAGCTGTGGCTAGCTGTGGCTACCTATAGCTAGCTGTAGCTAGCCACAGCGCATGCATGGAGGACTTCTTCCCTCCTTCTTCTCCCTCTTTGTCTATAAAACAAAACACAATAAAACCCTCACTGCAGTCACCAATAAGGGGGCCCCTTGGGGGGCCCCCCAGAGAGGGGCCCCCCAGAGAGGGGCCCCCTAAGGGCCTCCTTGAGGTATTTCTGTGGGGCCCCTAAGGGGATTTAGAGGGACCCCCAAGGAGGCCCCTCAAAGGTTCACGTAGGGGGCCCCTAAGGGCCCCCATTAGCAGCAATAAGATTACGCGCTATACGAAAGCTCTCATGGGGCCCCTTGGGGGGGGGCCCCCTGACTAGAATAGGGTACTAATTACGCATGATATAAATAAGCATGTGAATCTGTTGTATATCTGCCTATGAATTCTCTGTATCTATAAGATATAAATTGGTCCCCCTTAAGGACCCCACAAATTAGGTGGGCCCCCAAAGGGGGCCCCCCACCCTTTAAGGGGCCCCCCAGGGGCCCCCTTAAAGGGTACAGATTAAGCACGATATACATATGCATGAGAATCAGGAGGGTATCTATCTATAAACTCTCTCTCTATTAAATATTCAATTCTTTTCTTAAGGATAGAATTATCTATAGGTATATTAAGTGTCTCCTTTATTAATAATAATAAATCTTGATGGTATACAGGGGACTGTCTCCTTTTTAGTATACGTACTATGCATGCATCTATCTTATGACTACAATCCTCATTTACTGTCTCAGGGGATGGTGTATCTCCCTCCTGCAGCAGCAGCAACAGCAGCAGCAGCAGCAGCAACAGCAGCAGCAGCAGCAGCATATATACAATATATAATGTGTATGTATGTACATATATATATCTACTTAAAAAATTATATATATTATTTATATATATTACTATTAATAAATAAATAATAATAAATATTAATAATATAAATAAACAAAAAAAATAAACAAATAAAATACAACAAATAAATAGTAAATAAGCGCAAAAAATAAAAACACTAAAAAATATTCACCAATTAGGGTTTAGGGTTTAGGGTTTAGGGTTTAGGGTTTAGGGTTTAGGGTTTACGTAGGAAGTATTAAAGGCTGGCTGAGGGACATGAACTTTTTTACTAGGAGGTACATAAGAAGTATTTAATCTAAATATTTTTTCTCCCTATAAATAAAAAGGAGACAAAAAGGAGACAAAAAGGAGACAAAAAAAGGAATAAAAAGGAGACAAAAAGGAGACAAAAAGGAGACAAAAAGGAGACAAAAGGAGACACAAATGGGGAGGAGAGACCTATAAATAAAAAAGAAGACACTTATACATAAATAAGGAAACAATTAAATAAAAAAAGGAGACAAATAAATACATAAAAAGGAGACAAATAAATAAATAAAATAAATAAGGAGACAAATAAATAAATAAAATAAATAAGGAGACAAATAAATTAAAAAAAAAGGAGACAAATAAATAAATAAAAGGAGACAAATAAATAAACAAAATAAATAAGGAGACAAATAAATAAACAAAATAAATAAGGAGACAAATAAATAAACAAAATAAATAAGGAGACAAATAAATAAAAAAAAGGAGACAAATAAAAAAAGAGACAAATAAATATAAAAAAAAGGAGACAAATAAATAAAAGAAAGGAGACAAATAAATAAATAAAATAAATAAGGAGACAAATAAATAAAAAGGAGGAGACAAATAAATAAATAAAATAAATAAGGAGAGAGTTACTTTATCTGTATTATCTGTTAATAAAATATTTGTCTTGTTAGGGGGGCAAAGATAAGCCAATTCTGTTAATGCTTCTCCTTCCTCTGCATAAATAAATAAATAAATAAATAAATAAGTAAATAAAAAGGAGACAAAAGGAGACACAAGGATATGCAGAAAAAGAAACAATCAAAACAAACCCATAAACACTTCTATACACCGCAAAAACCCTAAACCCTAAACCCTAAACCCTAAACCCTAGACCCTAGACCCTAGACCCTAAACCCTAGATCGTACCTAATCCAGTAGATTCACATATATCACGAAGAGTAAGTGTCTCCTTATTATTAAAGGCAAGGAGACAGTAGGCTTGTAGCTCAGAGGTACACAACAAGAAAGAATTTACTTGCTGTGTCTCCTCATCTATATGCATGCTGTCTCCATCCTATAAATAAATAAATAAATAAATAAATAAATAAATAAATATAAATAAATATAAATAAATAAATATAAATAAATCAATAAAAAGGAGAAAAAAGGAGATAATATCTATCTAAGGAGACAAAAGCTAAAAAAGGATATAACTACTGCTGCTGCTGCTGCTGCTGCTGCTGCTGCTGTTGCTGCTGCTGCTGCAGTTGCTGCTGCTGCAGTTGCTGCTGCTGCTGCTGCTGCACGTACATATTGTGTCTCCTTTTTACACATAAGATTAACTTTTAAATCACAAGAGCCAAGAGAAGGAAGAAAAAGAATTCTTTTTCCTAATCCATGTACAGAATAATATTCAATAAATAAATCCCTAAACCCTAAATTAGGGTTTATATATTTTATATTTGCTGCACATACACCAGAAAAGGATGGCCATATACCATTCGTACATATACGTATATTTAATTCACTATTTATATTACGTAAACGGTCACCAATCTTATCATCCTGCACACACAACACAATCAAACCCTAAACCCTAAACCCTAAACCCTAAACCCTAAACCCTAAAAAATATAAAAAAAAACCTAAAAAAATCCTTAAGAAACCCTAAACCCTAGAGGAGAATAGAAAACCCTAAATTGTGGTTAATGGATATGGGGACAAATAATAATATGTCTTAGAAAAGGTTTATATCATAATTAGGGTTTAGGGTTTAGGGTTTAGGGTTTACCTCTCTCATTTTAATCATTAGGGTTTCAGAGAATCTAATATCATTTAACATTGACTCCATTTTACTTGTATATTGAGGACCGCACTCTGAGGTGTACGTACACCACAAATAAACCCTAAACCCTAAACCCTAAACCCTAAACCCTAAACCCTAAACCCTTACCTCGAATACATCCTTTCCTCCTATAAGAGCAAATAAACCAACAACCCTTTGTAGCTCCTCTGCTGCCTCATTGGGGGACACCACGGGGGCCCCCGTGGGAGACTCCGTGGGGGCCTCCGTGGAAGACCCCGTGGGGGCCTCCGTGGGAGACCCTGTTGGGGCCCCCGTGGGAGACCCAGTGGGGGTCTCCGTGGGAGACCCAGTGGGGGCCTCCGTGGGAGACCCCGTGGGGGCCCCCGTGGGAGACCCCGTGGGGGCCTCCGTGGGAGACCCCGTGGGGGCCTCCGTGGGAGACCCCGTGGGGGCCTCCGTGGGAGACCCCGTGGGGGCCTCCGTGGCTGCCCCTTTTGATGCTTTATAGCTTTTTCTTATTATTTTATCAACATGCAGAGCTGCATATACACCCCAAAACCCTAAACCCTAGACCCTAAACCATAATTGTTCCAAACCCCGACTCCAGACCCTCCCTATTTGCCCCAAACCCTAAACCCTAAACCCTAAACCCTAAACCCTAATTAACTTACAAAGAAGACGAGCAACAGTATTAACAATAGAGAAATCTGCCAATAAAAATGTTCCCCATGCCTCCTGTAAATAAATAACACAAACCCTAAACCCTAAAACCCTAAACCCTAAAACCCTAATCCCCCCATCTATTATCGGCCCCTCTTGGTTCCCTAGAGGGCCCCCCCCAAGGTCTTAGGGGCCCTCCTTCCTCCCCTGTAGGGTCCCCCAAACACCAAGAAGTTAGGGACCCCTAAAATGAGTAGTAATAGACGAATTAGGGTTTAGGGTTTAGGGTTTAGGGTTTACCTTAAGTCCTAATAAGAAATCAGGATTAGCAGCAAATGCAGTAGCAAAGATATGCTCATGTGTTTGCTTCATGTCTAATAATTGAGCAATAAATTGTTTATTGTTGCTGCTGTTGCTGCCGTTGCTGCTGTTGCTGCTGATGCTGCGGCTGCTGCTGATGCTGCCGCTGCTGCTGCTGCTGCTGCTGCTGCTGCTGCTGCTGCTAGTATTTTTTAATGTATTTAATAGTGTCTCCCCCTCATAACGTACAGCAGCAAGAGAATTTTTTTTTAGTAAAATAATTTCGTCAGCAAGAGAGAATAAATGATGAATAATAATAAGGGAAGAAATATCTTTTTTATTTATATAAACCCTAATTATATTTATATTACTAATTATATATTTATTATTTTTTATTAATTCCTTATATAATATATTTAATACTTTTTCTCCTGTTAATCCATGCAATATATTTTCTTTTCTTCTTTGTTCCCTTAATAATGCACCAGATACATATTGTATATAACAAGAGAGAGGCAGGGGCCCACCTGTGTATACACTCGAAATTGGCGGGGGGGGCCCACCTCCATATACACCTGAACTCTCTGCTACTCCAAGAACTGGACCCTCATCACTTAATTTTTTCTTGCTTATTTCTCTATAAAATATTTCTGTTGATGATAAGAAAGGAGGCTCCAATAAATCAAAATAACGCTGTACACACATACAAACCCTAAACCCTAAACCCTAAACCCTAAACCCTAAACCCTAAACCCTTCATAGAAAAATCGAAAAAAAAAAACAAATCAAACCCTAAAACCCTCATCTAACTCAAACAATAACACAGCAAAACCCTAAACCCTAAACCCTTAACTTACCCCAATATGTATATAAAGGAGACAAAGTTTAGATAAATTAGGGTTTGGTTCCTGTTCTTCTTGTCTCTCTTTTTGTACAACACTTATAAAAGAATTAACAAGATAAAAAAGTGTCTCTTCTTGTCCATTAAATGCAGCAGATAATAAACGGTCACATAAACCCTGTAAACCCTTTGCTTGCTGCTGCTGCTGCTGCTGCTGCTGATGCTGATGCTGCTGCTGCTGATGCTTATGGGCTAATGTATCCTCTCCATGACGAACAACCTGCTGCTGCTGCTGCTGCTGCTGCTGTTGCTGCTGCTGCGGCCTAGCAGCAACAGATGAATCATCTAATACACAACCATCTAAATAAACAAACACTTGCAATATATGATGCTGCATGCATACACACAAACCCTAAACCCTAAACCCTAAACCCTCTAAACCCTCTAAACCCTCTAAACCCTCTAAACCCTCTAAACCCTAAACCCTAAACCCTCTACGCACCGTAGTATTGCGGTAATAATCATAGAGATCGAGTCCTTCTTGTAGTATTTTTTGTGCAACAACAGGGTCTAATAGTTCGCCTCCCCCTTGGGGGCCCCCTTGGGGGCCCCCTTGGGGGCCCCCCTTTATATTATAATAATTAATTAGATAATTAATTGCTGCTGCTGTTTGTTGTATTTTTTTATTTAATGCAATAAATATACAATTAGTAATATTATTTAGTAAGCATACACCCCAACCATCCTTTACTAGGGTCTCTACTAACTGCAGCAGCAGCAGCAGCAGCAGCAGCAGCAGCAGCAGCAGCAGCAACAGCACACACAGCAGCAGAAGCAGCAGATGCAGCAAAGGAAAAAATAGAAAGAGTTTACACACAAAGCAAACGCAGCAGCAGCAGCAGCAGCAGCAGCAGCAGCACATCGAGCAGCAGCAGCAAATCGAGCAGCAGCACCAAAGACAGGAGCAGCAGCAGCAAAAGGAGACACAAGAAAAGGGGACAGATAAAGGAGACAAAAAAAAGAGGAAGAAAGGAGACAGATAAATAAAAAGGAGACACCTAAGAATAAAAAGGAGACACCTAACTAAATACAATAAATAAACAAATAAAATAAATAAATAAAATAAATAAATAAATAAATAAATAAATAAATAAATACCCTTGCTTTATGTGTCCTCATGCGTAGAGGACGAAGAGAGAAAACATCATCAAGAAAATTCTTTAATTGTCTCCATCCTTCTTGTATAAATTCAATAGGTAATTCTCCTTCCCCTATACAATAAATATATATAAATAAACCCTAAACCCTAAACCCTAAACCCTAAACACTAAACCCTAAACACTCATCTCGTCAAAATATTTCTAACGACGGGTTTAGATGTCTAAGAAACATACTATAACTAAATATACACCCTATACACCATAAACCCTAAACCCTAAACCCTAAACCCTAGGAGGGGATTAAGGGGGAGGTCAAGGGGACATATGGAGTTCCTAGATTGTCTCACATAACCCTAAACCCTAAACCCTAAACCCTAAACCCTAGTTGAGTGTTTAAATGGCTACAAATGTTTATATTAATTTACTCAAATGTGTCAAAACCCTAAACCCTAAACCCTAAACCCTAGAAGAGAGTGTTTAGAAGGGCCTCAAGGAGTGGGGCCCCTAACCCTCATAAGGGGGGCCCCTTCTAGGGTTTGGGGTTTAGGGTTTAGACTTACCACTAGGAGGGAGCTTAAGATGGAAAAACTCCCCACAAGGGGGAGGGTCTACGTGTATCCGCATAAAGGAGAGGAAAAGGGTTTATAAGGAAAAAAAAAAAAAAAA